GTAGAATAATTTGCTTCTAGAATATCTATGACGTAACTGACCACAGATCAAGATCAGGCTATAATCTGTGAAAAGTTTTACATATAGCTACAACTTGTGATAAAAAATGAAGTTAATTGTCTGTCTAAAATAACTTCACTTTTGTAAATTGAAAAATATTCTCACTTAGTAATGCAATTGAGAAAAGAGGAAAGGCGATAACTCTGAGCCAATATTATATTAATTGTTTAAACAAAAATTGTTCCAGATTACTCATTCATGTTCATTTTGATTCAAGTTCTATTCTATCTTAGTCCCCAACTCGTTGATTTGCAGTGTAAGTACAAATAAAAATATTTGTTAGATCATGAAATTAAGGTGTTGGGGGCGCGCATTTGAATTATCCCCGGGCCCCGAATTTCTCTCGGCGGCCCTGGCCTTGATATATAATATATCAACGGTACTGTCCAGCTGGAGTTTAAAGAATATTTATTTTTACAGCATACATGCTCCAACTGTACTTTCATCATCATCTGTTTGTATTCGAAGGATGATCTTATAACCAATAAAGAATTTTATCAGTTTTTCGATGCTTCACACTGACAGTTTTTATTTTTAGTTTTGCTATTCCCATAAATTACGGAATAACTGTTTATTAGTTGAAAAGTAAAGCTGAAATTTGACAGCTTATTTAGAAAATTCTTGTCACATTCATACATATCTATGTATGCATGCACTTGTATATAAGTAACAAATAGACTTGTAAATAGATCGAAAGGATTATAATATTGAAATACTATATTGAAAAGCTTGAGCAAACAACAAAAATGTTATTCAATACGAAATATAAAGGTCGTTATTTAGACCTGTGGTTTTCAATAAGACAATGCTTTTAAGGAGTTGGTCTCTTTGACAGTTGCCTTTTGATTTATATAGAGTTTCACAGTTGGGAATGCGGTTTCACAAACTTACTTCAAAACAATGTTTGCAAATCCTATAAAATGATCACCGGAATAACGGTTCGGTTTGCGTGACCATCGATTCCGATTTTCCCAAACGATCATGTTCAGCGATGAAGCTCACTATGGTTGAATGGGTAAGTTAATAAATTAAATTGTCATATTTGGAGGGATGATAATACACAAGCCATTGTTGAGACGACATTTCATCCTCAAAAACTATTTAGTGTGCTTATGGCAGGAGGGAATCATTGGGTCTCTCGGCAAGTACATATTTATTCGAGCTAACCACGAGAATCACTTATCCGAAATCATTTAACCCTTAAATTATAGGCGCTTCATTTATTTTTATAACCCATATCTAGAAAAAAAAACACCCTTTATTAGCTCTGAAAACAAAAATCAAACTCTTTCGAAGTTCACTATTACAATTAGTTTATTCTTAAACTGTTAGTCGAAGAATGTTGATTATCAGATATCTCCCATCGCATCCGTCCCAATGCAGCTTTAAGTCGTGCCATTTTGATTTTTTGTGAAAAATATGTTTCCTTGACAAAATTGCGAACTTGCACAAGCGATGAAATGACAATCTTTTCGTTAATTGCGACAGCGAATCACAAATAAAATTCCAAAACCGAATTGGTATTTTTGAAAAACTTGTTTTCAGATACTCGTACTGACTTACATAGATCTTTTGTCAAAATTTGTAAACTCGCGTAACTTAGATTACCAAAATAAGCTGGACATATTCTGATTTTAGATTGAAAGCAATTTTAAATTATTTTCTCAATTTAATAAAGAGACATTGTCACGCCACACCCGATTGTAGCTTTTGTACGTGTACACAACATACAGCTGCATTCCCTTAGCACCTCAATTAAGAGATCATTAAAACTTCATGTAGTTTGAGCAATTTATCGCCTTTATTACCGCCCTGAGCGAATACTTGCCGAATTGATCATACTTAATAATTACATTGCCTTACGTGCCGCGAAAGATAATCAATACCGCCAACTAAGTATAAGACGCATATGAAATAATGTATGTAAAAGAAGAAGAAGCACATATAAGTGTACTCAAATTACAGGAACTCTTTTCAGGAAGAACTCAGCCAAGGCTATATATAGCCTGTGCCAATGAAACAGATGGATGCAGCATTTCTGCGCTGGCGTACGTGAATTTCGCACGTAGGCCATTTTATCTGATAGGTAGAAGAGTACACAAATATACATACAGTTTGACACACATATCCTAGAAAAGCTACAAATCAATAATGATTACATAGCGCACACTGGCACACATTCAAGTACATATGGATGTATGCATAAATTTACCTGTATAAGAGCTACATAAATAAATACTCGTACATGCGTGGAATCGAGTCGCAAATATTCGTACAAAAATCCCAAAGAATTTATCAAAGAATTATTTGCGATAGGCAAGCTACTAAGATGCCACAAATACACACGAACAAGCATAAATCATTTGTATGTAAGAGTATGTATATTAGCACAATGGACTCGTTTTAAATTAAAATGTGCCAACTTGGTTTGATATGTAGACGTGAAGAAATTGCCATACGCATACATACATACATATGTGAGTACATATTAAAGTTGAATTAGTTCAAAATAGAAACATAAGGTAGTACATACGTATATACATATAGCTATTACTCCTAAGCATGAAACTAAATATGTATGATGTAAAAATGTAAATTTTATTAATTCAAACTATTAAGCATAATTTTTAGTATTTTTTCTGGATACTCATATATGTATGAAGTTATGTAGAAATGTGTCACCAGCTCTCTAGCCCTTTGTAAATGTGTATACTCGTATGCATGCATATGTGTGTATATTCTTAGTTTGATTTTTAAAACTCCAGCTGAATATTGGTTTATCGTTACCAAGCTCAGTTAAAATGTGTGGCTTTCCCTTCTATTTTTCAAGCTTGTGAAGTTAATACGAGAATTGGTTATAGTCTAAATGTTTTATAAATTGGAGAGTAAGTAAGGTGGGGCAATACTCAAGTGGATTGTTCGATTTGCATCACTTATCAAAATATAGTTGATTTGATAAAACACTACGAATTTCGACATAAAATTACTGGGAAGTCGAAGTAAATTTTATATCATAAGGATCATAAGACGTATGTATGTGCGCTAAATTTTGTCGAGTTTCCTTTACATTTTGGTCCAACTTCCAAAAAAGAACAGAAATAAACTCATTGAATTTTTCAAATAATAAAATATTAAAATTTATGTTAGGATCGGGACGAAAATTTCCTGTCATCAAATAAGCATTTATCGTATTCGCGACTCGGCGCTCCCGAGTCACTGTTGATAGTCATAATTAAGAAGTCGTAGGTATTCGTCTATCTTGCAGTCAATATTAACACCAACTACAATGCCAACTCTGAAATCCAAAGCATAATCACTCTTGCCATCACATAGGGTGAGTTCCAAAAGGTTAGTTGCAAAGCAACCGCACATTGTCACGCGTTCCTAAATGCAACTGTGCAAACTTTGGCGATGTGTAATCTTCCAAAATGTATCGGTAAAGTTATTGCTGCGCAAACAAAAACAAACTGCGCATCGCTAAAGTTTGTGACGCTTAATTTCATCATAAATTCTTAACGAAACTCCATCATTCAAAGTGACATTTTGGAACTCGTCAATACTCTCTCTCGACGAACAAAGACCAAAATGTACAAGTCATTCATCATTCCCGTCTTGCCATGGTCAGAAGCATAGGCAAGCTTTTGAGTCCTCTATAGAAAATTTTTGCGAAAGATTGTATTGATGGTCTTTCCCGCCTTTGCAACGGCGAATACCGCAGACGAAGTTATGCAGCAACTACCCATTACACTTACCATCTGTTCATAACAGCCGACTGGAAGGAGCGAGATACATACACGAGTTATCGACGCTACTGAGAGCAGCGAAATGTTGCCAGCTGTCAGCGTGTTAGCACACTTTTGAACAAATTTATAATTTCCGTCAGCGAATTTCATAATTCATATGCTTAAATATAAGCGCAAGACAAATATGCATGATAACTTTATGGTAACAAATAATTAGTTACGCATTTAGTTTTCATTTCCTTTCAAAAGAACTACGCATTATCAGCGAGCAGTGTAGCTCACCGGTATTACGGAGAAAATCAAATCGCCGCTGGTTTCTGCAGTACAATCGTCACTAACGGCATGGGCAAGCGGTGACAACTTTGTGTTTACATTGCGCTCTCATAAGATAAGTTGCTATGGATGGAAGGTACGTTAGTTGGGTAGTTGCAGCATTAAGCGACGAATACAGTAACATTGACATTGATCAATGAATAACCAGTCGGCGGCTATGCTGGCTGGGTGATGGTGTCAATTCTTTGACAGTATTCGATGCAGTACCCGCCTGATGGAAGAAGAAGACCTCCATTCCGTTGGAAGGAACAGAGCGACTTGCGTTTTCTTGGTATTTCCAACTGGCACCAAACAGTGAAAAGAAGCAGCGAATGGCGTAGGAGGTACCTTACCAATAAAAGAGAAGAATAGTCTTGACTATGCTCGGTAGTGTTTCGATAATAATATCGGATTGTCGAGGTGGACCCAACATTTTTTGGGACATCAACTCGTCAAGTTCTTCCACGAAAAAGTCTGTGTGAATGCCTTGAAGTAAGTCAAAGGCTTTAGAATAGCTTGTAACCCACAACCGCAGAATAATAACATTCCATACTCCATATAATTTTTGTCACTCTGTCGGTGATCTCTTTCCCGTAAAGAAAGTTGTATTTCGAGCGAATCGAACTTGGTTTTAGGTTTCTAGCCTATTTCGAGGAAACCAAAGTATTCCATGGTCAACCCAACCGAACCTTAAATATGTAAACTTTTTCAAATACTTAGATCATTCCACTTCCGTAAAAAATATTTGAAGCAAGGAGCACTATAAATCGCTGGCCACTTTCTATTCCGAAAATCATCAGGTTCGGAGATCACAGAACACAAACAACGTTTATATACTCGTATATATAGATTATAAGGAAAAGGCTTTTATCGCTTAGTATTTAGTTTTCATTTATTTTTCTTTTAGACCAAAATTGGTGTATTACACACTTACACATATCCATGATAATTGAGAATGTTACCTTAACTCTTTAATTGTAGATATGTAACCTTAGAACACTTAACCCTTTTGTGTTTGTACACAGTTTAAAAAGAGATTTGTAAAGTTAATAATCTTACTTACTAAACTACCATATATAATATTATATTTCCGAAGTGTATCTTTACTTTAAAATGGAAAGAACTCCGTTGTTTGTGTTTCATGCCACAAATTTCAAATTACTATTTTATAATTATATCAAATATATTTTGCATATTTAAATGTGCATTACACTTGAACGTCCGCACACCCGCAAATAAAAATACATCAAATACATAATATACCAACTACTTCACTAAAACACGCAATATATGTATGTACGAGTACGTATATACTCGTACTTGTATAAGACTATTTTAGATAATTATTCATACATAATTTATGTTATAAAAATTTATATAATTGTAGACGAAACACCCCATATTTATTAGAAGCACATTACAAAAATATTAAATAAACAGCCACACGTCCATAGTTTTAAGAGCTCCGACGTCTCCCGCTCAATAGTTAGCCCGTTAATTTGGCAACCCTTAATTAGGTTCTACGTTTGCGCTTTCTTCTTCAAGTTCTCATTTTCATCCAGCTTTGTGCTTTCCGTGCTACTAGACTCCGCATCGGATGCCTCAAATTCAGGATCGGGAACTTCCGAATAATGAAAATGGCCAACAGAAGGAGCATCAGTTGTCTTATCATTCGACGGATGTGTGCCATCACCGTATTTCTCAATAACGCGACGCACTAAATCCTTGGATGGCTCCTTCATATCCCAAGCCCAGCCAATACGGTGGAAAGTATCCAAGATCATTGTGGTAAAATTGCCCACATAATTACCAAGTTCAGCCGCTTTGTAGTCCCAAGGGAAGACGTGATGGTAGTTGTGCCAGCCTTCGCCCATAGCGATGATGGACACGTAAATGTTCTCGGTGGGTCTGATGCGGCTGTGAAAAGTATACAAATAACACATTATTTTGTTTGGGATTATGCTTTTGTGAACTGAGGATTATTTTTATTTAGAGTTTTTATAGTTTTCTATTTTAGGTTCTAATGAAGGAAACAAAGTTAGCGTATACTTACTTGTCGTAAGGGCGTGTGCCGTACATGTGGGCAGCGCTGTTGACAGACCATGTGAAGTTCAAGCTGCAAACATAACGAAACAGACATTGCGTAATGAAAGCCAAATGCAATTCCTCGCCCCAAAAGTAAACCGGCACCATGGTAGGCAACACAAAGCAGAGCAATATTTTCAAGGGAATGAAATATTTCTGATGGAACTGCACAACAGGATCATTCATCACATCACTCATGTCCAACTGTCGGCCACGACGTAAAACTTCCGGGTGCTTCAGCATCATCAGCCAGCCAACATGGGCGAAAAAGAAGCCCCGATTTGAATTGTGCGGATCAGCATCGGTTTCGGAGTACTTGTGGTGCACACGATGATCGCGTACCCAGTCGTAGAGAGTGTTCTAAAATTAAAGAAGAATGGAAAATAATAAAAAAAGCAATGCCAATGTAATTAACTACGGCTCTAGAGTTTTATAATTCGACACTATAAATTAACTATTAGGTAAGTTAACTAAAAAATCTTATTACAACAAACACACTAGTCATTGGATGAATAAGAGAGAGCTTTATAGTCTATCGGAGCGTATGAGTAACATTAGAGTTACACATACGTATTATACATATGTATAATACCTATATATAATATAAATATAATTGGCGCTTTGTAACCGCTAAAGCGACTTTCGGCTTTGGTGTGCGTTTTGTTGGTTAAACGACAAATCAAGGGATCTACAGTTTATTCCAATCCGCATTCGAACGGAAGATTCGTTTTTAAACATACATACATACCAGGTAAAATTCTGTATATGTAGTAAAATTACATGCGTATATACTTTCTAACAGATCGATTTTCAAGTGTATTTGCTAACGAAATTTCAATTTAGTATGTTTTATTAAATTAACGCGGGAATAATAATTTCTTGGTGAAATGATTTAATTAAATCAAAATAAATAACTCAAAGAGTATAGAGAATTGGTGATTTCAACATGTTTGCAATTATATTACCCAATGATTATTGTGGTTAGGCATCGTGTTTCGAGTATTTGTTTTTGAAAATATGTATGTTTCTATGTGAAAAATCTATTCTTGCTGGCTATGGGTTTTCACAATAGTAAACAAATTTTAGACCAAACTACGCACGAATTATTAAATTTCATCGCAAAACAGCCGCTTTACATATACATTTACTCGTATGTATACACACCTACATATTTCAGCTGGCAAGTCGAGTATTATTATGTATATAATGCGATAGTTTAAGTAAATACAAATTAAATGGTATGCAATAATAAAGATTCTTAAAGTCACAATAAAATAACTTGTTCAAGCCAAACTTCTAAACAAATCAATTGCCTTTTAGAGCAAAAAAAAAATAAACTTTTAAAATATCATTTAAATACGCAAATCAACATGACCCTCATGTTGTTTTTTTTTTTTGAAAAAGCTTTCGTTGCGTTTAATCGTAAAAAGATCATTTTATTACCTGACCAGCAACAGAGAAGCATATCATCAAAATGCTACGTAACGGTACATTGGCTTTGAACGAACGATGCGTCCAGAAACGATGAGCACCGGCAGTTACACCGAAACCAGCAACGCCACCCATAAAGAAAGCTAAAATAGAAAGAGACAAAATAGAAATAAATTAAACATTTTAATATAAAAGCAACTTTTTAAATATGTATCAGACGTGCTGTCGCCTGAACTTAGATCGTTTGGGGGGTGTTGGCGATTGTCTTTGTAAAACTGTAAAAAATTGTTTGCGGATGTTTTTTCTGTGATTCAGTTTTGCTCTAGTAACTTCTTTTGATTCTTTATTGGCTTTGGCACCGCTTTCGCGATTATAACCGAATCAATATTAGCGCGACATTCCTCTTTTCCTTCTTCTTCTTCTGCTTCCACCAGCAAGTTCTGTATCGAGTACTTTCAAAGCTGGAGTGCTTTCTCCCATTCGGACGACATGACCTAGCCAGCGTAGCCCCTGCCTCTTTATTCGCTGAACTATGTCAATATCATCGTATAGCTCGTACAGCTCATCGTTCCATCGTCTGCAGTATTTACCGTTGCCAATGCGCAAAGGATCATAAATCGTACAAAAAACTTGCTCTACTAACTGTTCAATGCCAAAATTTCTTCACATTCCACATGAATACAAGAGTTTCATCAAAATTCAGCTTCAAATAAGAAAATAAAAAAAAAATACACTTTCATAAAATCCTATTTGCTCAGCTTCCGTTTACTTTTAAAATTTTTTTTTTTACAAAAATATTTAATAACTACACGAAGTTATTCTTAACGATCGTATCTTTTGTATTTTAAATGAATTCAATCGTAAAATCTTTAATATAAATTATTATTCAGTGTAAAGTAATAAATGATAATTAATAATGTCCTTAAATTGGTCCTTGGTTATATTCATTTCTTAAATTGATCTCTCTCCAAGCATTCTTAGTATTATTTTGTGTGATATTGTGCAAAATTATAACTCAAACCACTCCTTATTCTTATGCCTTATTCGCATATGTAGGTACGTAAGGTAAGGAAAAATTTCAAAATTTATGAAACAATTTTTATTCAACTCCTTCAATTTTTGTATCATGCGATTTTCAAATAAAATTTAAATACTTTGTCATATTTTGCCATAAACAAATCGTTATGTCCTCAGTTTTTAGACATTCTCATATATTTTTTAAGGATAATTTTATTGGTACTTTCCGTTATTTTTAAAAAGCTCTACTTATGGAGTAATCCTAAGCTCTCAATTTAAGGCCATGAATTGTTGAAATGAACTTTTATTTGCCTATTTCTGCTGCCGGAGCATGACAAGGCACATATGCTAATGGAAACAATAAAAATACAATATTCATATACATATACACTGACAAGTGTGCTATGCTCGTGTATCTATAGTTAAGATTCGGCCCGCATAAATATTTACATGAGGAGAAACAGATTCAGGTTTTCTAAACTTTCGGCGAAGCGCTGTTGATAAAATTAAAAACAAAGAAGGCAGCAATAATGCTTTATTATTCATACTAATCGGCATTCCGAAAAATCCTCCACGAACAGAGATCCAATAAAATATTAGTTATTCCAATCTTTCCGATAACTTCGAGCAAAACTATTACTAAATTCAAAAACCTGCTGGAAAGCGCCCAAAATGCGGAAAAAAATAATCAGCAACATTCCTGAAAAAAGTATATGTACTCGTATGCAAAGTAATTGTAAATTTGGCTGCTTAGCTACAAATTTTGTAGGATGAGGTAGAAAAGGGGCTCAGAAGGAATATATGTATGAATTGAATGGTACTCTTCACTAGGAAATACGCTTAATCGCATTTTTTGGATGCAAGACATACATATAAACCTCGAGTGGTAAGACACAATACCAATACATGCGCGTGTTTTATCCATATAGTTAATACATATATTTACAATAATACTTATAAATATATGTTTACAAAAGTGGAAATGCACACAGACGCATCTATTAATACCTATAAATATTTACATCTTTTTAGCGTTCAATTCGGTGCTTTTGCTATAGTTTGACGATCATTTGAAATACACGGAATTAACCTTCAACACATCTAGTTTCTTCTCTTGCCGCACACTCAAGAGTTTTCGATTTTTTGTTTTGGCTAGCAACTTAAACCGGTTGTTACACATGCGTATGCGGCGGTAAGAAACACTTAAGAGAAATCAGATTTTCGATGTGCATATGTATTGTGCATACATGTGAGTACATATATACATATGTACATATGTATATCTATCACCAAAACTTAATTGATTGATTTAACTTTCCCACTCCGACTTCAGTGCAGCCAAAAAACTGTGGAGAAATTGATCACCTTCTAAATAGAGTGAAGGTCAGCAGCGTATTTATGTAAGCGCGCATATGTACGTATACAAACAAAATGCACGGTCATAAACGTGGGTTTTGTAAAAACATATATAACTATGTACGTTTTATTTTATTATTGCATTATTTGCACCAACTGGAAAATAAGCAAAAAGATGATTAAAAGTGAAGAAATCATTTCGAAAAGTATGTGAGCAAAGTTGCAATAAAAGAGATGACACAGCGAATCACTTCACAAGTGGGTAAACATAATATTTATTTACATATATGTACATATGTAGCATGTAGATGTGAGTATACCACACATGCGCATGATCACATAGTAAATTTGTATTCCGTTTGTGCTGGCATACATACATATGTATGTATATTTTAAATATATAATTTGTTTTTTTTTTTTCATGCACAAAATAGTCAACAGAATACACATTTTTGTAATGAAACAAGCTTTTGGTAATTAAAATTATGTACGCGTAAGCATGTGTGTACATTTGTACTTAATTTGCATAGATAGGAATCTTATCAAAACCTGTTTTGTTAGAAAAGATGAAATAGCTCTTGAGGAAGTCAGGCTACAAAAAAAAAAAAAAAAAAAACGAACTCAATTAATTTCCTTAACTGTGGGGAATTCCCCTAATAATCCAATTTAGTACAGAGGCATGCTGTTGTTAATACTAAATATACAAGCATGCGTGAATATGTACATACATACGTGTATGTTAGGCTGTGCAAGCATTTTCAACTTCACTCTGGACTTATATCGATGAGATCAGATGACGAGCTTGTTTTGTTTTTTAGTACAAACAAAAGGAAATTTTGACAAAATAACGTTTGAATGCTACAGATAAGGCAAAATAAATACACCAAAATTTACCATTTTTGTATAATACAAATGATTGTATATTCGAATATATTATATATATTTTTAGGTACGTCCCACTTACTATCTACTATAATTGAATAAGTGAACAAATCATACTACACTAACAACACGAATTTTAAACACAGTACCCGTGTAATGCAAAAATACTGAGAAACAATCAATAAATTTTTGACGCAACCATATAATCACTCAGACATGTCGGCGCATACGTGTATGTGTATGTACATATAACTTCGGTAAAACCCTTCATTAAAGCGCTCAGGCCCAGCGAGCCAACTCCATATGATTCACAAATATTTAAGCACACACACTTGCTTGTATATAAACATACTATGTCTCACGTGTATGCCCTACTCAGCCCAACCGCATGAGTCCTATAAAGTATTGGATATCGCAGTACCATTAACTGATCTTTCGCACACTTTATTGTTGTCTCAATGTCAACCAAAAGCAGGGAAAGCTGACCAAATGACCAAAAAAAGGAAAAAAAATTAAACAAGCAAACTTTTTTAACCGACAACTGATCATCTTGTGCGTTGTATAAGAGGTTACATAGACAGATTGTATATGTGGAAAAAATATGCAAATTTTCTTTAAAAATAATCAAATTAGAAATTTTTCAATTTAGCTCTTTTCGACAACCCAGATTATCAAATGTATTTTAAGTTTTGATAGCACATTAACTCAACCTGTGAAAAGCTGATAAACGTGTGAATCTGTATACAAAAAAGAAAGTTAGTCAAATCTCACGACAGCCGGCTCTATATAACTTTGTCATCCTTTCGGTAACCCAGCCACGTTTAGATCATTAGATAAAGGAAGGAAAGTAGTTTTCCTAATACATAATAGAATTTTTCGTAAGGACACTACACTTTTTATGTATGTGGATGTGTAGCGAATGGAAAGTGGGTAGCGGAACGAGTGAACGTTTACCAATTGCATTCTGTGACAACAATAACAACAATTAGTGTGCATCAGCGCCTGTATCTGACAACCACACTGTCTTTAGACTCTTCAAAAAATGTGTTAAATAAACAGCTTTTGCGGGTTGTGTTGATCGTCAAGATATGTATTTTAATTGGTAAGAAAAGTGCAGCTGAAACTCACATATTTTTGAAGCACAAAATAAAGGGCCCAAGTAATTTGGACCCACAATACACAAATATTATACACAAATGAAATTCATCATTAAGTGCACACACGCGCGTGCATTGTACATTAAATATTTTCAGGGATATTTTAAAATTGCACAATTATACAATTACATAATAGCGATGCCCCCACGACATGCCTATTTCCACATAGTGCCAAATTGGTGATAATTTGCAATTACCGTAATATAATGTTTATGTTTCATTATAAATCTACGCTGACGGCACTTGTTTCTTTCGTTGATATCTACAGATCATAAAACCTCCAACAAAGTATAAAAACATTAAATGAATGGCAACAATAGTCAAAAAATACAAAAACGATTAAATGCGTTCACAAAGGCCGCAAAATTCGGCATAAAATGTCGACAATTGCGGAAACTCTTATTTTGGTACTTTCAACGGTCGTAATGACGGTTATGCAAGCACCCAAAGCAACAATCAAATAATTATGACACATAAGCACCAACTGAAAAAAACCTTAAGCTTCGTATATACATAATATGTATGTATATGTATGTATGTTTGTAGCTAGCATTTGATCACAGCCATGAATACTTAACGCAGCAGCAGAAATGAGAAAATGTGTGAAATGTAAAAAATAAAATATGAAAACGAAATACGTGTAAATGAGCAAATTAAATATAAACATATAAACGAGTATATGTGTACACGAATAGTATGTAAAAGCCCTATTGCAAGATTATATTTGACGAAAGAAAATTAAAAAACAGGAGCAGGAGCTTACTCTAAGTAAGAGATTATGCCCCGCTCCATTTTTGAAAGGGACAAAACGCAAAAATTCTCAACTACTATCTGTGTTGAAATTATTAGACCTCTATATAATAGACCTGTAGCATACCCGTATCTACATATATGTAGCCGCTGGAACGATTTTCGGCCTAGCTCTTCCTCCAGTTTGTGGTTTTTGCGTCTTGATGTTTATCCAATAAATGGAGGGACCTACAGTTTATACTAAGCCGCCTCCGAACGGCTGGTGGTTTTTTATGAGAAGCCTTTATTTCATGTCAGAAATACACTCGGAGGGGCTGACCGCAATTAGAAAATTAAGATTAATTTTGTATTTAAATTAATTTTCTATAACTTTTTGGATGTTAGTACAAGACCAGGATCAGAACCCCGGCATTCCGTATGGCAGAACGCAATGCCAACCGCTCGGCTACCGTGGCCGCATGCATATATGCACGCTACTTAAAAACACTCACGACCCCAATTTGCCGATGCCGCCAAATAATTGTTTATAATAAATTTTTATTATTACTTTTCATTTGTTTTTTTATTGCTTAATGCTTATCATATTTAATGAAAATCTTTTATTACCCTACTAAATAATTACCGGAGTTATTGTGTATAACATACATTCATATGTACTTATGTATTTATGTAAGTACACACATAAGTAGTAAGTAGTAAGGCAACCACTTAGGGGCGCTTGGTCGAGCTTCTCTTGCGTTTTGGTCCCCAACCGAGGGTCTGGTGGATTTTTCGCTAAACTATTGAGGTGCGTGTTTAGAAAATGCTTTTTGGACATTGGATTGGATGGACTGCTACCAAATAGTCTGCATCAAGCGGAATTAATATACGGAAAAATGTGCAGTGATTGCTGTAATATTTAAAATTTGGTGCTTGCGGATTGCGGATGTAGTACGTAGTGTTGAAGACATTCAAATTATTAAAAATATCTTTTGAAAAATTCATAATTTAAGCTCCATTTCTTTCATTTTAAAAAGTTATTCATTTTACATTCATATGTAAGCATACTATATACATGTGTACTCGTATATATGTACATAATTGGAGTTTAAAAATTTTACTTTCATTTCTATCTCACTTTTTAATCCCATTGGAAAAAGATATGCAGCTTATAACTCTCTTGCATTGGCAATATTTTTTTTATTATAACAACAAATGGAGGGACCTACAGTTTATACTAAGCCGCCTATGAACGGATGCTGTTTTTTTAAGAAGAGCCTTTATTTCATGTCATACGGGAAGGTGTTGACATTCTCTGCCGAGTTGAAAATTTCGTCTTAATATTTTATTTAAAATATTTTTGCATAACTTTTTGGATGTTCGTACAACACTAGGATATGAACCCGGGCCTTCCGTAAGGCAGTACGCAATGTTAACCATTTCGCTACCGGGGTCGACAAAACGACAACTAAATATAGTGACAGTGGATAAAATTCGATTTTCGAGCACTTACCCCAGAGTGTTGTGTATATGCTCAGTCGTTCCACCGGAAATGTGAACAAACACACAATGCTCACAATGTGTACCAAAAATATTTGAATGACTTTATCCCATTTAAGTGGCGCTTTGAATTCGATGCCAAACACCTTGTCGCCTTTGAAGGTGCGCGTATAATCCTCCAGATTGACGTGGTAAACAGGCTCATAGAGACCTATCTTCTTGAGGGGATTAGTTGATGGCGGAGCCTCTCCCACAATGGTGCAGTCTGCTATAGAAGCGACATCTTTTCCGTTTTCTAATTTTTTTTCGAAACTCGTACGTTTTTTCAACTCCTCTTCACCGTTAGGCAGCGATGCAGTATTGTCAACGTGACTGGATGAGATCGACGGGTGACCCATTTCTATTTAAAGTTCAGTGAGTCGGTGAGTATATGAGGTTTCAAGATTTAAAAAAATTATTTGAATTTATTTCCTTGATAGTGGAGTATTTGCGAAATAAAGAAAGTGTTCAAAAAAATTTGAATATTTTATTATTATACATACATATATGTATATAAATTTTTTTAATATTTTTTGCTCAATTCTCAGTGCTTTTGCACCAATTTAATTAACGAGTATATATAATTTTTTCTCTAATATGGTAAGAGATAAAATTTTGAGTTAACCAAAGGCACTAACGCTTGTTATTGTTTTTGATTTTTAGCACTTTAACAGATTGTTTATTTCTTATTTGGTCTAACTGACAAAAGTTTAAAAATATACGCATGCACACACAAACACATACCAGAACACTGAGTATAAATTTATTATTTCGAAAAAATACGGAACGTCACAATTGTCAAATTACAGTTATTTTTTCTTTCAGACCTATTTAATTAGTCTCGTTTAAAAGTTCGCTTCTCTGTTTACAACTTCACTACCAGCTGCTCATTTTTTTCTTTACATGTAACCCCAAAGATAGTTAACATGCAACTAAATTTGAATAAAAACACTTTTCAGAGTTTTGACACTCCTGTTTTTCTCATCCGCACCCAATTTCTAACGATCTTTACACGCCGCCGTTCCGAAGACAAATGAACTCGGTCATGTCAAAAATTTCGTATCTATTGGATTACCGCCGAGTCGTCGAGATTCTGCTTTCTAGGCAACATACATATGGGCGCACTCACACCAGCACCCAGACGCAACACAAACCAACGCAGCGTAGCGTCGGTGTAATATCAACAGTAACAGCAACAGCAGCATAAACAAAAACAACAAACGAAACAAGCAGTACAGCAGCAAAAGGTAAAAATATAACACGGCAACAAGTGTCAGCAGAGGGCAGCAGTCGGTCAACTCATCGAACAGTCAAAACGATGAACAGTTGGCATAGAGGTGACAGCGGCGTCAGCGGTGACTTGGCGACTGTGGTGGCAATGGCAGCCGCGGTAGCTTTAATCGGCGACAACAGAAGCAAATGAGCAGCATCTGCCGTATGAGTACGCACAGTTGAATATATATGTATGTATGATGCGCAGATGTGTGCGTGTTCATATGTGGGTATGTGTGCCTTTGTTTAGGTGTTCAATTTTACTAATTTGTATATGACGGTAAACTTAAGGCCAAATCTTCTGCAAAACTTTACCTCAACACAGCAATACACACATGCATACACGTAAAACAACATATGCACGAGTATATGTATGTATGTATGCATGCATGTATATTTTTCAGATGTAGAATGTGTGTCTGCAAAATTTATTCATATACATATGTACACACATACATAGATCGGTGGACCGTGGTTGATCAACAAAAAAAGTTCAGCTTAATTTGGAGGTGATTTGAAAACGAGAAACACCAATTTTAAAAATTTAATTATTGCAAATAAATGCAATTATATATTGTCCAAATGGGAACATTTATTTACATTATAGCTCAGTCAAGCTGATTATGACGGCACTTGTTTACCTCTGCAAACATATTATATTACATTTATAATATGCACCCACCCAGACTATGTCATAGACCCTATCAATACTTCTTGTGCTTAACGCTGTTTAGGCGATTTTTGGCCGAGTAGGAACCTAAAGTTTTGAGACACCTCATTCTAGGGTATAACATTTACGCCAGGGATGCACACGGAGGTAATTTAAAATTTGTTTTTCAACATAAAAATATTTCTAATTAGATATACAACACTTTTTTAAATTCATAATTCGATCAAAATTTGCATGAAATTAAGAAATAATACGCTCATAATGGGAAATGCATTAGAAAAAAGCTTTTAATATTTTCCCACTGTTTGTTGGCGATGCACTTTCCCTTCCTCAGTAGACAAAATTCGAAAAGTTCGCTGTCTGCAATATCATTTTGATATTTTTTTAAAAGGTATTCCAATTGTGAATATTCGATAACAGTTTTACTATCGATGATGTAATATATATGTGTGTATATATCTGCTTACCTGCAAATCTAATCAAAAAGCGACCTTTGCCCCAAATCTCAAGTTAATCGTACAAGAAAATACAGTCTTTCAAATAGGTCTTCAAACCTTCTCGGGAACCAAAGGAACAAATGGATTTGCAGGGTAAGCTACCGACTAGTTTCTGAAATCATGGGAAAAACGGGAAAGCAAAAGATTTTCATATCGAGGGCATAAATTGCACTCTCTCTGAGTTTTATTTGCATAAAAATGGATAAATAGAAATATTACTTGTATTATGCACACCTCTTTCGGATCTCCTTTCATATGAAAAAGGTATCATGAGAATCGGTACACATTAACACAGGGATTCTGCTTTCTACTACGAATCTATCTACCAAAACGGAATTTACATGTGGAATTTTCAAAATTTAAGCGAAATTTACGTTAAAAGTATAATATCTAACCAAAATTAAATAACATTTAGAAATTCAACAATTGATTATTAATACAGGTGAATATAAATCCTTCAATAAATCTATTTTGCCCACGTCTTTTGTGGAAGAGAGGCACTGTGCGACGTAATTATTGGAGCCACAAAAGCAACAACTCAGCAAAACAAACTCTGCCAAAAAACCATCATACATGCACACAACACATACAGTAACGAAATGCATGCCATTTAGCCATTCAGCAGTGAATGAATGTTGGTTACACAGCGTGTTTATAAGTATGTACATATGTGTGTAGTACACTGCTGACCAAGCAATCGAAATGTGTAAAGAGCGAAGAATTCGACTATAACTGTCTTACATACATATGTATGTATGTATGCACATACATAGCAGCACCTGAGCCCTACGCGACCAAACCAATTTATTATTTCTACAAATTGGCGCAACACCAGCGATCACTTCGCAGCACCAACAGACATAACATCAACAACTTGCAATTGAAATAAAATAAAAATTAATTAATAAAATAAAAAATTGTCGCTGAACCCAGCATTAACAGTTACGGCGATGGCGTCGGCACCGGCGGTGGCAACTACTGCAGCACCAACATATGTATGAGCACCGCCGAGTCTGCTGCTGGCTGCTGCTCTTGCTGCAATCACAACACCCCACAACGCCACAAACACATTCACTGTTGCACCTACGTACACACATACTTGATGTGTCTGTTTAGCCGTACATACATATTTATGTAAGTTATGTAGGGAGTGAAGTATTTTGTTTTGTAGTCTCGGCAGTTTTAATTATCATATTCACTTTCTTATTTCTCTCTCTTCACCAGCTCAAACGTGTTGTTGTAGTTTTGCATCTGCGACTAGCAGTAAATGTACTCGTACACTGGTCGGTATGGTGTTAATGAAACGTTGGACAATAAACAATATTAAACTTTTTCAGCAGTTTTACATTAAATATTTTCGTTAGGTTGTTTCTTTGAGTTGCTATAGAAAGGTGAAGTAGCGCCTTTGACGTTAGTTTACATTGAGTCGACAGGATAACAAATGATTAGGGAACGAGCCGAAGGGTTTATGATGTTTTGAAAGGTGTTAAAATGCCAACAAAGGTTAAAAATATTTTGGGCATTTCTTCCGATTTTTATGGATTTAGCTTATCTGGAGTATTCCGAATATGTTTTCATTTTAATTACGGAATGATATGTATGTGGCGTATACATCTTCATTGCATCAATGAGGGTGCGTGCATACATATATATGTATGTATGTATGAATGACTGAGAATTCGCGTATATACAACTCGAATACAGATACATCGTTCGTCACAACATTCATATCCCAATTAATTATGAATGAGTTGCATTTAATAAGCTAAGACTCGAATAAATAAGGTCAATAATATGAAGTTTCTTACGATCCATTATCATGTACATATATTTTTATACATACATATGAATGTATATAAATTCAAGCTCATGTATGTATAAACTCACATATGTACATAGATTCATATGCATCTAACGTAATTAGTTTTCCATACGCTCTAAATCAAATTACACATCGTCACCTGTCTTGTGAGTTTTACACTTATGTGATTTTGTATGCCATGAATTTACGATACGGAACACTTGTTGATTTCTTGCTTCAAATATACATACGTGTATGTATAATTTTTTTTTGTTATAATTTTATTGCAAGAGGACACTAATTAGTGATATTTTCAAATTTGATTTCCCCAATTTCACGTTTTTCCATTGTGCTCTAGTAGCAATAGCGTAAAAAAGGTCTCCTCAGTTAACTCAACAAATATGTATGTAATATATGTATGTAAATATGTATGTATGTGCCGATCGGCAAATAGAAAAATGTGTTCAAGAAAACCAGTTTAAAGCTTAGAGCATGAAACGGTAAAAGCAACAATTGCACAAAAAGATCATTCGGCGACCATTGGAAGCATCAATGTCACCATCACCTTCGCCTTCGGCAGCACAAGTGTCGCAAAGCGATGGTGATGTACCCACGATCAGCCTCAGCTCATTAGCATTATCGTTGCTCACATGTGCTAATTATGTAAATGCGATTGTGGACGTACTCGTGCCAAAATCAACTGGCTTCCAAAATCGTTGAATAGTTAAGCAAAAACACGCATTATACATATCTGCGAGTATATACCAGTGTGGATGTATGAGTGTATAGCATAAGTGTAGAATAGGCAGGTGCTGAAGTAATTTTACTTCAAAAATTTAGATATTTCTATAGACATATGTATATGCTTATATATGAATGCTTATGTATGTAAGTATCAATGAAAATCAAATTTTGAAAGTTCTTTAATGTACGGTTCGTTCGTCTTCATTAAATTGTATTTACATAGATACATATATACATACATATACATAATAAATTAATTTTATAGGGTAAAACTAAACCAAAAATCCCTTACGAGAGATTATCTAAATATTTTACCGAATACATGTTCACCGTGAAATGTTGGCATATGCACTCTATAACATTTGTTTTCTTATATCGCACGTTCATTTACAAATGAATATATGTATAAATATTTGCCGAATTCAATAATGCGTGCATAATCGTCGATTAATTTGCTTAACTAGCCTACGAGACGCCAAAAAAACTGCAGAACGCGTCGTGTGTGCAGAAACAGGGGTCACATGGTATGTATGTAACATATGTATTTAATAAAATACATTTGCAGTCATATTTTGTCACCGCAAGCAAGCGCTTTTACGATTTGCAGAAGGATACACATACACCAATTGGCGCACAGTACATTATTTATCTAGACACTAAAATTCCTCTGTTTGACTCTATTTGTTGGGAAGGATATTTTCTCGGACGGAAAAAATGGGGTCTTTGTGGGTCAGATGGTTTCAATTTTATTGGAGAAATTTACGAAAGAACGCTCTTTTTTAATGGTGTACAGGGCTTTTACACAAAGTTTACGCTCGAATTACAGTTCATATTCTCTAGAATGCATAGCTGAAAAACAACTTCCTACGCTTTGTTGGGGCTTACAGTTAGGTACCTTTAAATTTCCCAACAGGATATTGCTCGCATTCATGTAAGCAATGAATTGAGGTGATTTTTGACTGATTCTTCCTTAGAAACCATAGCCGGCAAATAATTTTCGATTGCTTGGAATGAATTGCAGAGTATGAGAAGTATAATTCTGTTTATTAGTATA